GTCCGGTCCCGGTCAGGGCCGGCCCTTCCCCGCATCGCTGGTGGCTGCGGCGTTTGGTACCACCGCAGGAAAACCGGGACCGGGCTGTGCCACGGGAGAAAGTCTGTCCCGGTGTAGGAGGTGCCCAGGAGGAGCAGTGAGGGCCGGGCCCTGCCTGCCGCGCACGTTTGGCTGCAGATACCCGGCGGCAGGGCCAGGGGCACCAGGGCCCTGCGAATTGGGATGCACAGTTGTTGGGGTAACAAGCATCAAGTGCCCAAAGTCACAGATAACTGGTGGCGGTGTAAGCAGCCACGTAATTGCTTTCCACACTGCGGGAGAGGTTTCCTGCTTTGAAGCTGTTGCGATCACTGGGTAAATACATCTGAGGCCAGGCTTGAGTCCTTTGAAGACGTCCTTTGGTGAACAGTTCCTAAGATGAGAAGAACGGGCAGTCAGGAGTATTAGGCTCAGCTCAGAGCTTTAGGCTGACTTGCTGCTGGATTGGTGATGTGATGTGCTGTCAATAGTAGGCTTTTGTTCTAAGTAATCGCAGATCACCATGTGTATTTTTGAGCCATTCTGTCACTAAAACGTTGCTGCTTACAACTCACGGTACAATCTCTTTGCAATGAGACAGGAAAATAAAGGGGGATCTAGTAGGAAGTGAAACTCATAGATGAATATAGGGAGATCAGTGCCCTGGGTGCAAATGGCAAGGTGTATCACTGGTGAAGGGGAGTGCTAGCACAGCTGTCTTGTGTCTCTGTGCAAGGGTCATTAAAGCATCCATCATGAATCTGATTGGGTTTTCATTATGTTTCAGGTATCTCTCTCCTAATTTTTAACAAATTCTCATTGTGAGGGAATTACTTTGACCTGAAAGCTGATAAAAATACTCCTGCAAAGTAAGTACTCTGCTTATGAAAGACAAATTCTCAGTAATTTGTGAAATCAGTGTCAAGGGGAACTCCAGAGCGGGCATCTTTACAGTCTGCATCCACTTCTCCTTCTGGTGGCGTCTCTGGCGGACTTTGTGTCTAATGAGCTCTCCCAAGAAAATGCCTTGTGAGATGGGTATAGTCGAGGCGTGTAGTTAGAGTTATGAATTACTTGTTCTTCTCTCTTACATGGTATGTATCTTGGTCTGAAGAGGAGCAGTCTTGAGGGAACTTGTGGTACAATGTTAGCAATGCTTCAGTAGACGTCTTCTCACTCCCACCCTTCCTTCTTCCCCTCAGGCCCCAAATGCAGTTAAAGTTACCCCATCTGCAGCCCTCTGTGAGGTGCTCGTCATTCAGCTTTTCATTGTGCAATGTCTCTCTTTGGACGCTTGCTTGGAGCTGGGGTTTGTTCTGTGTAGGGCATCATCTCACAACTGTGCTGAAGCACACTGAAATGTGATGGTAAACATGAGTTTATGGAGGTCTGCTTTTGATCACAGTGGGAGATACGCAGTGAAGAATGGCATTGCATGGACTAAGTGCTACAGGAAGAGTGGTGCTTGAAATGTGCTGGAGAAAGTAGCAGAAAATGGGAAATCTGGGGATTCTGTACAGCCAAAGCAGCAGAACAGCTAGGAGTTTTTTCCCTGGGGGCAAAAAAGTAAGACATTTGTTTTGTTTACTCATGTGTAGCTGTGAGGGTTTTCCTGAAGAGGTGTGGGGTGATGTGGAGCCATCCTTGTGCAGCAGCAGCCTTTGGTCCGAGGGCAAGAAACAGTAAAGAAAAGGTTAGATTTCACTTATGAGCTATTTCTAGATCTGGCAATGAGAGGCAGGACATCACGTGTGGTCCATTAATTCAGCAGATCTGTTGGGATCTATCCTGCTATTTGGAGCATTTGGCTGGTTTCCCTA